GTAGCTGGAAACTACAGGCGCGTGCTACCATGCCCAGCTAATTTTTGACTTATTGTAGAGATGAGGTCTCGCCAAGTTGCCCAGGCGGGTCTCGAACCCTCAGACTTAGGCAATCCACTCACCTCAGCCTCCCAAAGCGCTGGGATTACAGGCTGAGCCACTGAGTTCGACTCCTAACTCTATTTTAAAATTAATTTGTTACTGTAGAGGAAAAATGTATCATGACTTTTTGGAGGACATATTCCTGTAATATTTTTAATTGAAATAATAAAATTATAGAACCACCATTCTCTATTTATACTTATGTTGTTCACTCTTTCAGAGCTTCGAGAAACCAAGACCTCTGAACACTTCAGCCTATCCCACCATCCTTTAGACTACAGGATTTTATTAATGGATGAAGATCAGGACCGTATATATGTGGGCAGCAAAGATCACGTTCTTTCCTTGAATATTAACAATATAAGTCAAGAACCTTTGAGTGTAAGTTTGTCATTTTCATGAGGGCAATGTTGATCTCCTAGGTATCCTTTTCTTTAAAAATTTTAAATATGATAAAAGAACAATATGTACTTATTAGAACAATAGAAAATACTGGCCACATGTCAATAAACAGTTGAATGTTAGTACTTATTTTATGGACCGAAAGTATGTTAAGTTTACTTCTGCTTGTCTAGTTTCATAGCATTTACTAACACGAAAACCTGAATTGTTAAATGAGAAAATACTTCCCATGTATACACATATAAAAGGAGGAAAGGAGGAGCATAGAGCATAGCATGAAATTGATTAGATTAAAGGAAGACCTACCTTGTGATCTGTGAGTAAGCCATAGAGGGCTTGAAAGCAATGCAGTTATTAAATGTACTGTTATTTGCACAAGTGTCACCTACATTTATCATTCCATTTCACAACAAGGAAGTAAAATTGAGCTTCATTGGAGTCAAGAAATAAAAGTAGATTAATTATAAATGTATTATAGCAAGGAGACTTCTGCATTTACTATGTTAACATGGACAACAAGCTGAGAACTAAAAAAGTAATTATCACTGCCAAACCTGACTCAAGACTGCTATAACTGAGAATGCTAGCACAGTATTTCAGACAGGGAATCTCTTAGATTTCATCCAAGTTATTTTATCTATTGAAGTATCCAGGGGCTCATCTTAAGTAAATCTACCAGGTTTGGTTTACCAAACCTGTATGGTTTACCAAAAATAATATTAAACTGAGATAGCAATATGAATGTAAATTTATTATGATATAAGCAGTTGGGGAAAGTGTACAAGTAAAAAGGAGTGAAATATGCACTATATTTTATACATTTATATAAATAATGAACATATTTTAATATAAAATAAGTAAATGGGCATATATTATTACAAGACTTGCAAAAGAAAAACTGATGGAAGAAAAAGGATAATTGCTATAATAAAATAGTAGACTATTAACTTGGATTCATAAAAGAAGGAATAATTTTAAAATATAAAAATGGAAATACCTTAAAGAAATCTGTTATCACAAAAGTGAAGAACATTAAACTCTCCTATATTCAAGGGAAATTATACAATTTTTATTTTTCTGTCTGAGCAGGTTTTCTGGCCAGCATCTACAATCAAAGTTGAAGAATGCAAAATGGCTGGCAAAGATCCAACAGTGAGTGTTTTTTAAAATACACACACACACACACACACACACACACACACACACACACGTAAATGCACACTTAAATATTTGGTCTTTGAACCCATGTACTTTGAGTGAAGCCAAAAATGAGACAAAAGGTGTTAGTGTTTTAAATTCTTAGCTGGACATATGCTAAAAATGTAAACATGAAGAGATTGAGAGTGTCACACTACCTGTAACTTTGGAATTCCTGACTGGGTAAAAATTTCCTGTCTTGCTTTCATTATTTCATGCAGACACATCTCATGATGGATTTCAGTAATAATCCCTGTTCCTAGTGGATCTAACCTGCAGAATTCTCAGCAGGCTACTGAAGTAATGATCATGCAAGTGTCTGGAGCAGCTCCCAGATACTATGTGGCTTTTCCAAAGAAAGATTCTCTGCAAAAGGGTGGTGGTTAGCCAGCACATTCCAGAGATATGAATCATCAGTCATGAATGGTACCTTTGTTAATTAAAAATAACCACAAAAACAACAATCAAGGCAGATTCTTGTACAAGAATCGATAAATGTTCAGTGTGCAACACTTGCATAAACTTTTTTTTTTTTAGGTGATATTCAATGGAGTCAAGAAAAAAATCTGTATTGATTTCTACAAATGACTTTCTGAAAATGACACATTAACTTTTTCTTGAATATTATAAAAAGATATGCATAGTGCAGTTATTTAATGTACATGAGTTATGTAACATTTATAATGATGTACATGTCATTTTACCCTTTTGCTTAAAATTATGAAAAATAGTGTAATAGAAGCAAGTATCAGAATCATCCAGACCTTATACAAATAATTTGGTAATGAAATTTCTTTAATCAGTCATTCATTCTTTCTTTCAATTAATCACTCTGTAAATACTGAACGAGCACTATTATATATCTGCAATGGAGACATAATTTGTACAAAGCAGATATAGTTTTAACTCTAACCCACTTTCCTATCCTGTTGAAAAAGTCAACATCAATAAAATGGGCATGGAAATACATGATGATTCAGGTATGAGAAGGTGACTGGGTGGACAAACAATTTTTCAGGTCTCAGGTCATATCAAATAATAGCCCAACTTACTGCAAAAAAAAAAAAAAAAAATGTTTACTAAGCATTTATTTTGCAGTAGAGTCAAGAGATACTGATTTCAGGAGTGAAGTCTGCATTGAATCTTTGTAGTGAGTCTTCCAGAGATTGATCAGACTAGGCCAAACATGGGAAAATCAAACAAACAACGAATCCTTGTGGAAGGTAGAAACGTGAAAATGAGGAAATGAGCCGGGCTCGGTGGCTCAGCCTGTAATCCCGCGCCTTTGGGAGGCTGAGGAGAGTGGATTGCCTGAGCCCGTGGGTTCGAAACCCGCCTGGGCAGCGAGACCTCATCTCTACAATAAACCAAAAAATCAGCCGGGCGTGGTAGCACGCGCCTGTAATTCTGGTTACTCGGAAGGCTGAGGTGGAAGGATCGCTGGAGCCCAGCAGGTAGAGGCTGTGGTGGCCGGGAGCGGCCACTGCACTCCAGTCTGGGCGACAGAGTGAAACTCCAACTCAAAAAAAAAAAAAAAAGATTGAAAAAAACTTAAAAAAAAAAAAAAAAGAAAAGAAAATGAGGAACTGAAACTTATTTTCACTGTCTCCTAACAGTTCCAGATATAAAGTTCCAAAAAATTTTGACTCAAGGCAAGGCCACAGATATTCTGGCATTTAGAATCTCTGAGTTTCACTAGAGGGTTCTTGGCAAGAGAGAACACCAGGAATGACTCAGTTCTGAGTCTCATTTTTTTTTTTTTCCATTTTATAATTCATCCAATACAAGGAATGTAAAAGTGAACAGAAGAAACTAGCAGGGGCATATTTGGTATGCAGTGGATCTGCTGGGCCACAATCTAGTGGGAAAAATCCAGAAAAACATGTAAGAAGCAGTCAAATGAGTTTATTACAATGACTTTCCAGGAAACCAATAGTAGAATGAAGTGTAATGATGTAGATAATGACATTTTATTCCCTAAGACTACTATTTCAATAATTGTGCATGAATTAAATAAGCTATTTTATTATATTCGCTGATGAAGATTTTTTTTCTCCATTGATGTGTATGTCGGTGACCAGCACTGACCAAGGGTGGGTTAGGACCCACACCAGAGAATCTGGACAGTGAGAAGAGACTACTCGGAGGCAGTTCTTCTGGGAACAGTCTGATCAGGACTGAAGCCAAATTTTATTCGGACTCCTTCCAACTTATATACCATTTTCTATACCCTCCAGCAGTGTGATAATCACTTACTGGGGGCGTACAAGTTCCGTGCTTTACAAACTATGCATCACAAGACCACCATGAGATCTGCACTTTCCAAGCAAACAATTCGAATTCCATGATGCCTGCCGTGCTTACATTAAGGTCACAGGTGCACAATTTCAATACAAATCGTTCAAAGTGTTTTCCATAATGTTCAATGAATCATTCATATTATACTCTTTGTTCTATACCCTGATTAATACAAAAAAACTTTTCTAAGTTAACTCTAGGTTCAATCCAAGTTCACCGACTCCCAATATTTTTAACGATTAATATTATCAACTTAACACTATACTATAATCTATAAGTTTAGTTAAATGACTTAACTGTCAGTTATACTATTAACCTATTATGATTAACGCAATGCCTTATAACTCAGTTAAAACTTATTCTTAAACTACAAAACTTTACTATAATTCATGTTTCATATGAATTATGTCTAAACTTTAATTTTTATATGATCTAGTGATTGGACTTTAATACTATGCTATATCCTATTAAGCTAATACCTCATCATTAATTCTTTTATAAATAGTATAGTAATTATTATATTTAAATAATGTAGCAAAGGAAACAAAACAACAAGCATAAATTTATGCAACTATGAGTGTATATGTATATATTTTATCCTAACAAGTCTACTCTAAAATCAAATAGTAGCTGTCACACTTCTTGAACAAGAAATGCATG